ACGAAATGAAATGAACCAATAACTTTGTCTGTGTAAGCGAGAGAAGGCAAAAGAATAACCCGAAAAAAAGACCATAGAAACTGTTTAGATTTTATGTTTTTTTGTAAAATTCATTATTCTTATCCAATTCAGACATATCACGTAGTTAATATTGTTGTTTGTTTGTCTATGGATTCTGATGATTTGTTGGTTGAACAACTTTCTTTCTTATGATCTTTTCTAATAATCAAGAATCTTTCTTTATCCGAATATCATCATAACAGAACAATATAGCAAAATAATGGTAGAAAAAAAATAAAGTTTCAAGACGATTGCATCGGTAATACAAAAATAAATGAAAAAACAATCCGATAGAATTAAATGGATAGATTCTGTTTGGGATGAATGAATTCAATCTTACATAACAACCATTTTGAATATCTTTGATATCAATCGAAGAATGCTTTATGTTAAATATTTTTGTTGTTGTTGTTGTTATTGTTAGTGTTAGAACTGTCTATATTGCCAAAACTATTGATACTTAAGATTCTGATTTCAATTTTCCGCTTTTTAGTTTTTGTTTTTTCTCTTTGCCATTATCATCATTGACAATTCTTTTGTTTTAAAAAAAAGTTTTTATTCTGTTTTGTTTTTGTTGAGAAATCGGATCGAGGAAGAGGTACAAACCGTATGAATGAGGAAACAAAACAAAAAAAAAAGAAAGAAAAAGAATTACAATCGGAAAATGATTACACGCCAACATGGGCACGGCAATATATACAATTCCCATAAGTTTATTGTAATGATTTTATTTTTCTGTGTTTTTTTTTAGATGTTTTGTCAAAAAAATTATGGAATCTAAAATAATTAAACTAATAGAATGGAACAAGCACCATCTATCTCTTTAACATATCAGGTAGTATAATCAAATTTTTTTTCCTACTATTTTTCACTGTTGCTAAGAGCTAAAATTTTATTTCAGAATCAAATCTATATATATATGAAAAAAAAGAAAAGAATATAAATATATTCTGGCTTTTTTCTGTTCTGGTAAAACTATTTCGGGTAAGGGAAAAACAGAATATTCAATGTTGTTGTTTTCTGCACACAATCTCAATGTCAATCGTAATGTTTTAAGGTTGGATCATCAAAATTCTGTATTTGGAAAAAAAAATTCAATGAATCAATGATGTTCATATTATGAATTCATATTCTCTTTGAAATCTTGCTATACACACAAATGTCATTATTATACAACAACTACAAATGCCAATCGGATCTGTTCCAGTTAAAATTAAAATAATAGTTATAGAATCCAATTATTATCATCATTATTATCATCATCAGTTTATTGTTATGAATCGGATCGATCTAAATTCAAAAGGATTTGAGTTTCGGAAACTATAGAAGTGGATGGTTTTTTTGAAGTTTTCAATCTTTTTTTTTTGAAAACGTACGCATGCGTTATAATATGAAGTTTTTTTTAAATGAACAAAAAAATTCAAACATTCAAAACAAAAAAGGGAGAGAATTGATGATGATGATGATGATGAGAATATTTTTGAATTAAATTGATTGACAAAGATGATGATGTTGATTATGATTATGATGATGATGATGATGGTAAGTTGTAAACGCAGACATGGGGATGCTTTATGATTTTATTCAGACATTTGAAAAAAAAGGTCAGCTTAAAATGTTGAAATATTTTTTTTTTTATTTTAATATCGACAATGTCAAAACTATCAATAGTACATTGACTTTTTAGATGAAAAAAAATCGACTGGACGACAAACAAGAAGAAATAGTTTTTTTTTTCTTCTTTTCATTCTAACCCAGACGAACAAGATCAATATTATATATCTGTTCTGTTCTGCACAGATAGTATTAGTAACTATTGGTTTACGAACAAAGATGTTTGATGATAATGATAGTTGGTTGGTTGGTTGGTTGAATAAATTCCAACATGTTGACCAAATTAAACACCAGAAATCTTATATCTCTAATTCAACCAATGTTGGCTGGTATCCAAAAATATATGTCCATGTCCTTTTTTGATGATAATTCCTTTTAAAAAATAACATTATTATATGACTACTGCATTTACATCATTTCGATGGGTCTTTATATACTCTCGGTTGGCCAGAAAACAGAAACAGAAATCCCAAATAGCAAACTGCTAGTACAAACCGGTATACATTACGTATATGGATAATTTTGTAGTAGCAAAAAGATATATTGTAAAGGATATATGTGAAAAAAATAAGACAATCCTCATGCGACACACACAGCAACCAGATCATGCATGGATAAAGGCGGCAGCAACAACGACGACGACGACGCCGTAAATTTATCGCCAAAATAGTGTAGCGAATCTATCTATTCAACGAGGACGAAGACCTTCACCTAGTAATGAATGAATGAATGAAATGAATTGAATGAATGAACGAAATGAAATGAAATGAATTGAATGATTGAAGAAGAAGGTAAGTAAGTTATAGTATGTTCAAGTATAGTGAGAGCTCGTTTAAAATACTGTTTTGTGTTCGCGTATTGTTGAAAATGATTTTGCGAAAAGAAGCGAATCTCAACTTGATCGTCGTCGTCGTCGTTTTCATCGCCGATCTTGGTTCAATCGTTGTGTGTGTGTGTGTGTGTTTTGAGTGAGGTTGAGATCATATTATTCGTTGCTTCTGCATACTGTAGCCAGAGTTGATAATAATAAGGATTGTTTATTGTGTTGGATCTCTCTAAATTTTTTATATATTTAACATTAAGGTTTACCAATTGTTATATTCGTTTTTAGTTTTCGGTTTCGTTTAATTCGTTTAATATGTTGTTATGTTGGCATTTTTTTTTTGTTACGTTTGGTTGTAGTAGCATTGAATTTTATTCTAGCTAATTTGTATCATGATGATGATGATGATGATCATCACTTATCCTCCTCCCCATCATCATCACCATCACGATCAATGGTGATGATTATCACAAAAGTGGCCCTAGATTGAATTGAGAATTGTAATAGAATGAAATGGGCAATAACAACAAAATAAAACTTGTTCCTCTTTTTATTAGAGTAAAATATTGAATAACTAAACTAAACTAAACTGTCTTTGTGTATGTGTATTTGTTTATCTGTTTTTTTTGACCAATTCGAACGTTAAGGCGTAACCGTATTACGTATGGTAAATATACAGTTGATCATTCAGTTTTTTTCGGGTTGATTATCATTGTGACTGAAACCATTTAAAAAAAACGAAGAAAAAAAAACGTTTGATTTGTTCATTTTATATCATTGTGGATGATCAGTGTTGGCAGCCATGATGATGATGATGTTGATGGTGGTAAGGGTGGGTGTGTGTGTGGGGAAGTTGACGTTCATCAATCACGCACATATACACCAGAGAAATAAATAAAAGTGGCTATACATCTGGTTGAAGGAATATGGAAAACTAATATAATGTAACAATAACAACAACAACGGAAGTTTGAATGGGAAAAAAACAACAAAAATTCTGGATGTGTATATTGGGGATATATGACATATCAATATAATAAGTGTGTGAAAGAGTGTAATACTTGGTTTATTTTGTGCGCATGACAATTTCGTAAATAATTATTGCCATCATAATGATGATGATAATCATCATCATCAATATATTTATGGTATTGGTAGACCAAATCATCTGAATCGAATTGAGAAAAAAAGAGAGAATTTTTTTCAATGAAAAAAGAAACGAAACAATTTTTTTTTTTCGTTAACCAGCTTATAAAATCATCGGACAAAGTTGGATCGAATATTTTTTTCTTTCCATTGAAATTCAAATTGTCGCCATAATCATCACATAGGCTTTTGTTTAGATGATGATGAACATACACCCGGTGATAGCGGCGGGAGTATGATCATCATCATCACAATAAAATGGAAAATTTCTGAAATTTATTAAAAAAAGAGAGAATACGAATCTGTAAAAAAAAAGATGAATGAAAGAGAGAAATCTTTAGAAACGAAATTGTATATTTTTGTGTGTGTGAAGTGTGTGCGAATAAATATTGTTTAAATACAATAATGATGATGGACAGAACAGGACATAATATTTTCCAGTTTTCCCAGTTGTTTAAAATAAATCAAAGATAAAGGAAATGGTTTACCCGAAAGAATGAATCCTTTCTTTTTTCTGGTTCATACATTGATAGTTGTTCATTTGCAAATTATTTTATCAATTTACCAATATATACAGAAAATACAACGAATTTATTTTTACATTACGCCACACACACAATGGATGCACACTTTTTTTGTTGTTGTTTGCCTCCCACCCATTCTTTTGTTCATCGAATGACTACGACAACAACGACAACGATTTTGTATAATGATATTAACCAATAAAGAAAGATTTTTTGTTGTTGTTGTTGGAGTTTCTATTAAAAGTTGTTGTATATAAATAATAATTATTCAACCATCATACACATATATACGTGTGTAACACACAGATGTAGATATGAGATGAGACAAACAATGAAGATGATGAGAATCCGAATAATATTGTTGTTTTAAAAAACTGACATTCGTTTTAAATTCATCTATCGATCAATTCGACCTTGATGATCATATGATCTTTACGTTTTGTTCTCTCCTGAATTTTTTTTTCCCAACAATATTCTTAATGATCATTCAAAAAAAAAAAATTTGGAGCAAAAAAATTTAAATTTAATAATGATTATGTCGACATCTATTAATTGGAAATAGAAATAGTTAATTGTTAGTTTTTTTCCATGTATTGTTCAATAGATGGCAGCATAATACTGGAAAAAGATTTAAAAATTCATCAATACTAAATTCAAATAGTCTCTTTCGATATTCGCTGTGGCATTTAATAACGTTAATTACGTAGAAATCAATATAATTTCAAGGATGATAGAATTTAAAATTTTATTTCAATTTTAAAATTGAAGTTTGCACTGGAAATTTAATTGAATGAATCATTGTTCATTCAGAATTTGATTAAATTGAGATACTGTTTGGAATAAGCAATAAATTTTTAATCATAAATCATTGAAAAAATAAATGAATTTAATATTCATCGCCAGCATCAGCATCGGCATCAGTAGATTCGATAGCCACTTCTTCATAATCTTTTTCCAATGCAGCCAAATCTTCACGAGCTTCAGAGAATTCACCTTCTTCCATACCTTCGCCAACATACCAATGAACAAAAGCACGTTTAGCATACATTAAATCAAATTTATGATCTAATCGTGCCCAAGCTTCAGCAATGGCTGTTGTATTGGACAACATACAAACAGCGCGTTGTACTTTAGCCAAATCGCCACCAGGTACAACTGTCGGTGGTTGATAGTTGATACCAACTTTGAAACCAGTTGGACACCAATCGACAAATTGAATCGATCGTTTAGTTTTGATTGATGCAATAGCTGCATTAACATCTTTCGGTACCACATCACCACGATACAACAAACAAACGGCCATATATTTGCCATGACGTGGATCGCATTTGACCATCTGATTCTGTGGTTCAAAACAAGCATTGGTAATTTCGCCAACAGTCAATTGTTCATGATAGGCCTTTTCGGTGGAGATCACTGGAGCATAAGTAGCCAATGGAAAGTGAATACGTGGATAAGGCACAAGATTGGTCTGAAATTCAGTCAAATCAACATTCAAAGCACCATCAAAACGAAGTGAAGCCGTAATCGATGAAACAATCTGGCCAATAAGTCGATTCAAATTGGTATATGTTGGTCGTTCAATGTCCAAATTTCTTCGGCAAATATCGTAAATAGCTTCATTGTCAACCATAAAAGCACAATCCGAATGTTCCAAAGTAGTATGAGTGGTCAGGACAGAATTGTATGGCTCGACCACAGCAGTGGAGACCTTTAATATTTGGAAATGAAATAATTCATTTTTCAAAATGAAGAAAGAATTGTAATTACCTGTGGTGCTGGATAAATACTGAATTCAAGTTTGGATTTTTTGCCATAATCAACCGAAAGGCGTTCCATTAGAAGTGAAGTAAATCCAGAACCAGTACCACCACCGAATGAATGGAAGATCAAAAATCCTTGCAAACCAGAACATTTATCAGCCAATTTTCGGATACGATCCATGACAAGATCGACAATCTCTTTGCCAATTGTGTAATGACCACGAGCATAATTATTAGCAGCATCTTCTTTACCGGTAATCAATTGTTCTGGATGAAATAATTGACGATAGGTACCAGTACGAACTTCATCAACAACGGTTGGTTCTAAATCAACAAAAACAGCACGTGGAACATGTTTACCCGAACCAGTTTCACTGAAAAACGTATTGAATGAATCATCACCACAGCCAACTGTTTTATCTGATGGCATTTGACCATCAGGCTGAATACCATGTTCAAGACAATACAATTCCCAACAAGCGTTGCCCATTTGGACACCAGCTTGACCAAGATGAATTGACAAACATTCACGCTAAATTTGAAATGAAAAAGGAAATTAATAATTAATTTTATTTATAAAAATCATTCCAAATTATAATTATTATTATTCACTATATAATAACCATTATGATTAAGATACACAGGTACAAATAATAAACTAATTAGTAATGCAATGAATGGAAACGGAAAAACGAAACAAAACAATAATTGTTCAGAAAACAAACTTCAAGAAAAAAAACTATAGAGATATCGATCTGTTTATTATCAAAAAGTGTTGGATTGCAAGTTTATTAAGATCATTTTATTTTTCTTTGGTTTGTTTAACGGAAAATATTTACCCTTATTTTCCAGAGTTCAATACTATGGTAACCATGACTATCATCAGAATAATTTGATCAATATTGGACATTGGAAACGAATATATTCGTGATGAATTAGTGGAAAAAAAAGTGGAAGGAAAATAACTTTAATGGAATAATTTTATTTCAACGAAAAATGATAGATGTGATCATTGAGAAGAAATGACGCCTACGTTTATTTTCATATTTGTTTCGGTTTAAACACCGTTCCATCACGTTTTTTATTCATTCTTTAATTCATTTTAATATGTAAACACCTGTTCATTTTTTTTTTGGTTTTTTCACTGCTCACGTTATTCACATGATATTGATACCTGATCATGATTGATTCTCTTTTTTCTACTAATAGTGTATGCGAATAAACTAGATTAATTATAATTTATCAATAAGCTAAATCTTTTTTTTCTGATTTGATATGATTGATTTTGACATGGCTTTTCTATATAAATGAAAAGTCATTTATCGATTATGATTGAAAGAAAAGAAAATTTATATGTGTGTGTGTCATAAATGCAGTTGAAAAATGTGCAAGGGGAAAAAATTGGATTTGAAATTGGCTCATAATGATTGTTACAAAAATAACCTTGTCGACCTGAATACAATGATGATTATCATGAAAATAAATAGTAACAATGAAAGATATTTTTGCCTAATATCATCGCTACCAGTTCAATCTAAACAAAGATGTGATTTTTTTGTTGTTTCGAATATTGCTTTAATGATGATCAATACGAAATGATAATGGCAGATAATCTGTGAATAATCCGTGAATAATATTGGAAAAATATACATACCATTTTGTTTAGTTTTTTTTTGTTTCGGAAACGGAAATTCAATTGAATGAATAGAATATATTTGAATACCAGTGGGTATTTTGAAAGACTTGCGAACAAACAAACAAACAAAAATTAGACACAAATGAGAACAAAGAAAAGATATGAATATTGATTTTTTTTTTGTTGTGTAAAAATGTAAGAATATCAAGAATTTAAACAGGAAGTTTGTTTCGAAACTCTAATAACAGCAAAGATTTATTAGAGTTTTTTTAAAGCAATTCTTCCAGAATGTAAATTGTGTAGGAAAAAAAATGGATTCTGAACTGAACCGATGTACGACCAATTGACGAATGAATTCACCGAATGTAGAAACCGACGACAACAAGATATATAAATGAAAAAAAATAGAAAAAAAACACTAAAACCACGCCATCAATTGCTTAGAAACAAACAAGAACTATTTTTTCTCAATATTTTTTATTTGTTGCAGCAACATTTCTTTTCGTTGTTGTTTGAAAAAGAACGAAAGAATGCGCAAAAAGTGAGAGACTCCGAATTACAATTTTCATTTTTTCTATATGTTTGAATCTTTAGATGGGTTGTAACAAACAAATGCTGGATATTCAAAAAAATATCAGAAGCAAGACTTGATGTTGTTGTTGTTGGTTATATTCATCCATTTTATTCAACAATTGTGTTTCTCTTTTTTTAAATATATCGAGCTGGTTATTCAAGAACGGACACGAAAAAACAATTTATTGCTTTTGCTCAACAAGCAAAAGACCTTGATGATGATAATAATCATCATCATCATCATCAACAACAACCATCATTATTCTGATGATGATGATGATGATGGTTATAAAGTATACTAACTGAACAAATGAATGAATGGTTGAATGAATAAGAGAAAATTATTGGCCAAATCATCATCATAATCATCAAGAAAGAAAAAGGTTTCATTATTGTTTTCTTTCGGTTGTTGGTTGGTTGGTTGGTTGTTATACTCAGGTCGGAATCCGATTCAAGTTAATGGTAATGGTTGATAGTAGTAGCAATTCCTACAACTTGAATTTATTGCTAGTTGAATTCATCACGATGATGATGATAATGGCAGCAGAATGATCATTATATTAGAAAAATGGCCAAAATGATGATAATAACTAAAAAAAATGGCAAATGAAATAGAATAAAAGAATCAAATGATGATTTCGAAAGTTTTCCATTTTTTGATTTCAACTTTGTTTGATAAATTCAAATGAATGAATCATCAACGAAAATTTTAATGTTACCCGTTTTTTTTCAAGAAAAAGAATATAGAATTGATTGGCCATTCAAGATGGACACAATCATTTACACTTGTCTATCAAATTTTTTTTTGTTTAAAATTTTATCCATTAGATACCAGACAAGCATGGACTATTTTCATCATGGTTGTCTGCTGAACAGAACAATTGAAAACATCTTAAAAAGATCATTGATGCTCAAAAAAAAAATTCAAAAATATAATAATCACATACACGATGAAAGATATTTATAAAAAAATCCCATTATATTGATGATGATGATGATAATAACATTCTTTTAAAACAAAGCCAGAAAAAAAATTAAATGAAATTATAATGGAAATCCATATATCCATCTTGACGGTGCACCCATGGTGATATATTGGTGCAAAACTAACAATAATTAATCCTTCGTTTTTTTTGAATTATTAGCCGCCACTTTGATCGATGGAATTATCCTTTTTTTGTCCGATAAAAATGGGTTCTCTTCCCAACAACAAAACTAAAACAATTACATGGTGATATATAGATCGGGAAATTTTCCATTTTCTTTCTCTTAACCAAATTAGGTTTTGTCTTGTCATTTATTATTATTATTATCATGATATATGATCTATGAACCAAAAAAGAAAAAATAAATTAAATTTAAAATTATCATCATATTTTGGATTGTGTAATTCTCATAGAATTGAATTGAAATTGTTACAATTAATGTTTCGCTCAACAAAAATGATCAATGAAAAATGACGCCTAATGTAAATTACATTGAACATGTTGCATAAATCCGTAGGAAAAACCACAAAGCTATAATTATAATAAAAATAATGATAGTGATGATGTGTATACAAGGCAACCATTTCATTTTGAAATCATCATCATCATCATCATGTCCATTTGGGTTGATCATATCAACATCATCATCATTTGATGAATTTGTAGACGTATCTTTTCAACAAGATGAAATGAATGAAATTTTATTTTAATGATCAAATAGAATGATGTTTCTATTAACATTCTGAACGACAATAATAATTTGATGAAACAAATTGCCAAAAAAAGAAAAAAATGCATCATATAATGAAAAGATTTGTATGCATGACATAGCGATGTGTACTGGATGGCCCACAATGACCACATTATGTGGTCATTGTTACTATAATCGACGTTGATATGATCAAACCGACCAAAAAAATTCAAGTATCATTTTTCATTTTCAACAAGAAAAAAAAAATGAATTCTTATGATACTATATTTTATCAAGATTTTTTTACCTGAAACTTGAATATCAATTTTTGTGTTTTAAATGATTGTTTTGTTGTGATCACGATCAAGAAATAAAAAACAAAACAATTGTTTTCATGTTTTTATCATTATATTTCATTGGGAGCATCTCAACAACAACAGGTAGGCAACATTTCCTATCAGAAACTATTAGAAAAAAATCAGTTCATATTAATTGAATTTGATATTATCACATTATAGAAAATGAGAAATACTCTCATCTCTTATCTTTGCTGATGAATCAATTGATTGATGTTTTTTTTTCTTCTTCTTCATTACTATGATTAGATTTTGAATGCCGGTTTTTTTTTATTTTGCTGCTGCTGACTCCAGGTAAGTTGGCTAATTATAAACATTTTTTTTTGTTGTTTTTGTTTTTAATGCTATTCTTTATTAGACAACTGGATTAGACATGGATGAGCTCATTTCTCTATCTCTTTGAAATCTCTTGCCAACGAATTTATTAACCTGAATGTTTGGTAATCATCGACGAAAAAGAAATGTGAACGCCTTAGGATTGTTGATTATATTGAATTTTTCTTAAGATGATCAATTTATATTGCCAATTAGAAAAAAAGTTATGATTATGAAATCTGGATTTTTGTTTTTAACTTGTAATCATAATCATTATTGACACTTTGAAAATGGCCGTCATTTTTTCTCTGCTATTGATTTGATATTTTTTTTCTCATCATCATTATCTTGAGAAACTTGTAATTGATCGGATAGAATTTTTTAATCCTTTAGTTGCTCATGATTTTTCTGATTAAAAACATTAGCTAAATACAAGAATGCAATCAGAGAGAGAAAAAATACCTGAATCTATATTTCTCTATCTTGTTGGACTAAAGTATTAGTTATTATTTAAATGGCTTTCGTCGAAATCAATGGAGTTGGGTGGAATTTGTTTTCACTTTGAAAAAAAAGGGTTTTGCTAATCTATTTGACTGAACAAAACATCAATCGTTTGATCAGTGTTCATTTGTATGATGAGAAATATAAAAAAACCATTAAAATGTCAAATTCAAATCGTTAATATTGATGTCTTTGTATAATATTAGTGATGGTTGTTTATCATTGAACAACGACAACAACAATTGAACCATTTGTTTGTAGTAAGAATTTAGTTTAGTTTTGAAAAGGGAATAAATAGGTTGTATTTTTAAATCGATGTCAAACAAATTGATGACATGATTATTATTATTTCAATACCTGTCAGCAGAAACAAACGAAAAATGAGTCCATTCCATGATCAAAAAATTGTTTTGTTTTTCTGGTTTTTTTAGGTAATAGAAATTAACCATCGTTACATTGTAAATATTAGTTTTAAAATTCCGAATCACATCTTTATTCATCTTCATTCAAACAAGGTCAGGAAAAAGCAACTTGTTATCCAATTAACAAGTTTTTTTTCTTTTTTTTTTTTTTTTTTTTTAAATTTTTTTAACAAGTTTTTTTTTTTTCAATGGTCAATCTTTTGTCAAAAAAAAAAAAATGGTT